AGCCTTTCGGGAAGTTGGCAGGCATCCAGAATGAGGTTGGTCATCAACCAATATTTCACCCTTTTTAAATGAGAAAACCACTCGTACACTTAAGTTTTTCTCATTGCACTGTCTTAGTAAGCTGTGTTCAACACATTTTTTCTGTGGCATTTTTCCAGAGCAGGAAACAAAATTTCACAGCCACATGCTGTTCTCTTAAATTGGCACCCCCCAAAAAAACAAGGTTTGAACAAAACTGCTTTTACGAAAAATGCACTGTGACCAGAGAGAACCTTCCCAGGCAACGCCCCTGGATGCACTCACTCGGAGTGAGTTGCTGGATGCTCCCCTAGCAGGAAAATGTACTATGAAAGCTCTGCTCCACCCAATGCAACTCCGTTTTTTGTTGTTGTTTTTTTTGAGGAGGGGGTACCTCTTCGTAACACTTTTCTTGATTTTTTTTTTGTAATAGTGGTCTCATAAAATATTTATATTTTTTGTGATTGAACTTCTTACACTCAGGATAATATCCTCAAGGTTCATCCATGTTATAAAATGCCTCAAGGATTTATTGTTGTTTTTTAATATTATGAAGTGTTCCACTGTATGTTTGTACCATACTTTGTTTTCCCATTCATTGATTGCTAGGCACTTAAGTGTTCCTATTGTGTATAATGCTATAATGAACCTGGGTATCCATATATCTATTTGTGCCCTGACTCTTACTTCTCTAGGATATATGCCTAGTGGAGTTACTGGATCTTATATTATCTCTCACTTTTAAAGGAAGTGTCTTTTTCCCCACTGGTTGTACCATTTCGGAGAGTTCCAATTTCTCCATACTCCCACCAACATTTGTTGTTTTCTGTTTTATCGATCATTTCTATTATCGAGTGAGAAAATATTTCATTGTTGCTATGACTCGCCTCTTTCTAACAGCTGGTGTTTGTGAACAGCTATTTATGTATGTGTTGGCTGTCCCAATGGCTTGTGGTCAAGTATCTGTTCCTTTCTTTTGCCCAATTTAAAATAAGTTGGGGGGAAAAAGTAAGTTGGGTTTTTGTTGTTGTTGTTATTGCCGAAGTATTGGAGTTTTCTATAGATATTAGCAATTAGTCACTTGTTAGCATATTGTTGTAAATATATATATGTTATTCAGTCAGTAAGTTCTATGTAAAACTCTTTCTCTGGCCCAACAATTACTTACATGAGAAAATCTATGGTATATTGTGGGTACACTGACTCCCAAGGGACAGGACCATCTAAAACGTATTCACTTCTGTGGCCTAAGGAATTCTGGTGGCATAGTGGATTATGCAGTGAGCTACTCTCCAAAGGATCGGCGATTCAAACTCACCAGCCACTCCATGGAAGAAAGATGAGGTTGTTCACACCTCTAAAGATTTTAAATTTCAGCAACTCAAAAGGCAGTTCTACTCTGCCCCACAGCATCACTGTGAGTCAGAAGCAACCCCACGGGCAGTGAGTTTTTAAGAGCAAGGGCTTCTCTAAACCTGCTCTGAGAAAGGGCAGTTAGCACAGCCCCATAGAATGCCTGCTTATCTCAGAGGCAAACGGCCTTTCATTCTGAGCAACCGGATTTCTGTCCCATTGGCCAGCAGGTGTCGCTCTCCAGGGACAATCGACTGCCACCAGAGAACTGCCACATGCAGCCCCAGTCAGTGCAGACCTCTGAATACCGACAAATGTCCCAGAGTCCTCTCAAACACTCTTCCTGTGGTGTCTGCAAAAACAGAGGGGAAAAAAAATGCGACTACAGGTCCAGATCACCTACCAACATCCAACACCTAGTGGTCCAGTCGGCAGCAACCTGAGCCAGGGGCTCTGTCTGAAGCAGGGACTTCAGAGTCCAAAAGCCTGGGCTGACTGCCTAGAGCTTATGTGTATTTACCCCCGGGCAGGACTCGTTTTATTTAATTTATAATGCACATAATAATCATAACGCATCTTTCACTGATCTGATAGGAGGATTCAATAAGATAGCCCTGGTAGGACAGCCTACCAAATAGTAAGTGTCCCATCATTGTTAGCAATTCCTATCCTAAATACGGATCATCTGCAGGAAGACAAATTTTGCCTGCAATGAGAGCCACTTAAATGATGACAAAGTGAGTAAAGAAACACTGAAAATAAGGTTATGAAGAAAACTCGATACGAAGGAAAGGGACAAAAGCAAGACAAACTACACATAATGTACTTCCTGAATACAATTTCAACTTCTCTTACAACATACCAGTCTTCATTAAAACTGTATATTAAAGAGTGATTCAACAAGAAAAAATCTTTTTCCCTCCCATTAAAACTCCCAATTAAAAAGTGTTTTGAAGAATTAAATTTGAATAAATAAAGATGACTTTGTAGACAGAATTATGTGAAAAATTATGCTACTCTTGAAAACATTCAAAGAAATTTTCATTAATTGAAACCAAAGTATCCTTTCTTTTTAATAGAGGTATAATTTTATTCTGATGAAATGAATTTTCCTAAACCCTTTTTGGACATACTATGGCCGAATCATTAACACATAACAAAGTATAAAGAGTAGAATAAAAATTCTTTATCTGCAACAGGATCCTCTATGACATTGTTTTATAATGTACAGGTCTGTAACAGATAGTCAAAGGTCTGTAACATATTCAACCAGAGAGTTTGCTTAAGATAGGCAGGCATATTATTTAATATACTCATCAAATGTTACCTGATATGATCTCGCCAGACATACTCCAGAAATTAACTAAGTTTGAAAGAGATATATCTTGTACCCTTATAACATGTCATAGCAATCATCTGGAGCAATTAAGTGCTATTAGCCCGTTATCTGGAGCCCTGGTGGAGTGATGGCTAGGCATTGCTAACGGCTAACTGCCAGTTCTACTCGGAGGAAGAAGGTGATTTAGACTCTGGTAAACAGTCTTTGAAACTCACAGGGGCAATTCAGTCCTATCTTACAGAGTTGCTATGAATCAGCAGTGACTTAATGGCAGTGAGTGAGTGAGTGAGTCCGTGAGTGCGTGAGTGCGTGACTGAGTGAGAAGAAAGTCATCGTCTTCACACTTTCTCAAGGATACCCATACAGTACCCTTAGCCTTCTGGTGTTTTTGGAAATTCAGATTTACGGTTAAATTTAAACCAGTTGCAATCGAGACTGTTCCAACTCCTGACCACTTGTGTATCAGAATAGCAATGAGCTCCCCCAATGTTTTCAAGGGCTGGTTTTTCAGAAGTAGGTAGTGTCAAGCCACCAACCTTTTAGTTAGCATTGTGCACATTCATCGATTTGCACCATCCAGGGACTCCGCCATTAGACTGAGCATGTTACTAGTCATTCAATGACCCCAACCTATAGGCACACCTACTTACAAGGGCACATACTGAGTTTAGGAGGAGTAACATTAGGAAGGAGCCACCCACCCCCACCCCGTGGTGTTGTGAGGTAAGCATTGGTTTGCTAATGGGTTGGCAGTTCAAAACCACCCATCTCTCTGAGGGAGAAAGATGAATTTATCTGCTCTGGTCAAGATTGGCGGCCTTGGAAATATATAGACAGACCATGAGTTGAAAGCTACTCAGCTACTCAACGACCACGGATGACTTATCAGTGTTCCAAAGGCTACGTGGCTTTGACACAGGAAGTCAAGTTAAGTTCAACAAGCGCACAGTAAATCAAACAACAAACAAAACAGAGTAGGGTGAAAGTGGTCAGATGTGATTAGCTGTCATGATTAGAATGATTTTTTTTTCTAATCAACCATCTTAATAATTGGTTTTCAAATTCCAAAAGTTCTAAGTTACAGTGTGTGATTTTCCTCTACAAGTACAGAAGTTAGAGGCTGGCCCCAAACTCTAGAAGCTGAATGTATCCACTTTGTGCAATAGAATCAACTTTGAAAATCAAGCAATTCAATCTTTTAAAAATATACTGTCTTAAAGTGCATCCGAGTGTATTGCTTTCCCTGGGGTTGCACAAAGAAGGAGAGAGATGTGTCTTTGAGCACAATCGTTCTTGTCTGGCCCACAACTGTGCAAAACTCCCAGCTCTGAAAAGGACGTCATCCCACAGGGAACCCAAGCAAAGGTGCTTGATGTGCCTGCTGAGCGAACCACCAGAGGGTTTCAGCTGTAACGAGGCTTCATTAAATGGTGCTGGGCACAAGCCAAAAGGGCGATTGATACAAAGAAGAGTCATTCCTGGAGGAGAACTCCGCCTACAAGGTCAACAACTAAGGAGTCAGTAGGGATGTCTTAATAGCAATCACATTGGCAGGGCTTCTTAACTCGGGAATCCAAAGAGGGGCTCCAGTGGGGTCTGAATTGACATTGTTAATTCAGGGTGACAGACAGGGAGTTAAATAGTAGATGAATTCAGCAAGTCTCATAACATGTCTAAAGCCATCTGATGTTGTCCCCCACACCTTACTGCCCCCCCCCCAAAAAAAAAAGTTGGTATCTATGGTTTTACAGAAATACAATAAATAGCATCTGGGCCGTCAAATCAATTTGGGGAATTCTGCACAATATCTTCTTGTAACAAGTCCTGTCCAGGCCCCCTATTCCCAAAGCCCAATCTGAAAAACGTTCGGGCATCGCCCTCCACGATGGAATAACCTCTTTTAAAGCTTGTGTCTAGAGCAGTGGGTGTTGCATAGTCCGCAAGTAAAAGCACAATCATCTTTCTCTCAAAACAGGTAGTTCCACTCAATCTCAGACACACCTGCAGCAGAGGGCTCAACGAGAACCGCCAACACGCTGCTTAACAAGCACGCGCAGCGTCACGCATCTTCTCTGCGCTTTGTGAAAGTTCGCTCCGGTCCTTCTCAAAACAGCCCTCCACGATGCAGACACAGGTGCTAAATAAATAAACCATGAACTTGGGGACTTCCTACCCACCCCCGCTGCCTGACACGGGAAGACCCCTCCTCCTGCTGCCCCAGGTCAGAAAGCACAGGGAAATTCAAAGCGACTTGGGGGTGCAGGGACAGCTAAGGACTGAGAGTGGGTACCTTGCATGGGGCCCTGGAGGTCCGAAGCGCTGCTCATCGCTGCTGCCCTGCTCGGGGCTGCCCGACGCGGCTGGCAGTCCGGGCGGCAGCTGCGGTTGCCCGGCAGCGCCCTGTGGGACCCACGGGCACAGACTGTCTCCGCAGGCGCACCGCGATCGCCAGGGGAGAAGGGAGGCGGAGGCTCTGGGCTCCCCGCCCTTGGCCACACCCGGCCGCAGGGCCGGCCTCCTGCAGCCTTGGGCTCTAGGTACGCGTGCCACGCCTTGGATCTGGCCACAGGCTTGTCTCTAGCCAGGGTCTCTCCACCCAGGCGCAGAGCGCCTGGCGCTCCTGTGGATCAGCAGGGACTGGGGGCCAGGTGAAGGAGAACAGGTATTTTGCTCGCACAGGAGCGCAGAAGTTAAGCAAAGCAGGTCTATGGACCTTACAAGAACCGCCTTACCGGGTCTGATCCAGCTGGAGGAGCCCCCAAATTGATGAATGCGATGCCTGCTCCACACCCCTGGCTTGGGGTGGGGGTGGGGGTGGGGGTGGGCTATCTTAGGCCAGCGTCGCCGCCGAGGCACAGGTTGGCCGTGTATTCATTCATTCATTCAGTATTGCCCCGGCCTTATGGAATTCTACAAGTGTTTTCCTTTCCGCCCATCCGATCTCAGCTATTTGCCTCTGCAGAATTCCAAGTTTGCCCAAAGGGGACAGAGCTGGTTTCTAGTTGCTGGAAGGTAATGAGCCCACGGAGGTAGTACGTGAGAAATGTCCAGTATTCGCCTGGCCCTTTGATTACATTTCTTAACATTGTATTCCTTCTAGCAAGTGCTGGGAGTTTAGTCCCATCCACCTTCCTATTGTACATTTAAATTTAATCAGTGAGCACGTTTTTGGTTTGTTTTTTTTTTGTCACTCCTCCAACAAGGTTTATTTCTAAAGCTAAATTCCCTTAGGAGCTTTTAACTTAGGCTGTTGATATGATAGGAGCAATCAGTTAATGCCATTTCAAAGCACGTTTGCGACAACTGCATTACAGAGCTGCCTCTGTGATCCACATCCTTCACCGGGCTAAATAAACAAATATCTAGTTTACTCTTACACAAAGTGGAAGATCATTTCATAGCAGGTGAATTATGTCCTCTGGCTGGCATAATTTAAGTTCACAACAGTAAGACAGTGCAATCCTTTTCTTCGAAATAAGAATGGATTATTTTAATAAACCCATGACCAGGGTTATTAAAATGTTAAAGGCCTGGCAGACAGATTTTTATGAAGACCCAATAAATTTCTGAAGCCCTAGCCACTCTTGTGTCCAGCTACCCAGCTACAGGGCTGAGATCTTGGTGATAAAAGCATATAACGAAGAACCTAAGGAGTTAACCTTTGGTAATACTAATAGAACAGGTAATAAAAGAAAGATACAGTCTGGCAACTCTTTTATCTTTTTTCATTTTTTTTATCCATAGAATAAGTCATTTAGAAAAGGTAGCAATAGGCCCTAGCAATGGGGCCTTCTCCACTCCAGCCCAGAATATTGACCACTGTCAGCTGCTACTAAATGAATATCACCCTGTGTGAGACAAATCAGGGTCTGTCACAGCCCCTGTGGGTTTCAGAAAGATCACTCTAGAGACTTGCCCAGGCATCCTCCCTCTCCATAACAAACACTTTCCATCTCAAACTTCTCAGATTGGTAAGTAGAGACTTTTGAGCTCACCTTTTTACCTACTGGCTTCAGTTCTCTAAATTATTTCTCTCAAAGGACCCAAACCAAACCCATTGCCATCAAGTTGATTCCGACTCATAATGACCCTACATAGAATTTCTGAGACTATAAATCTTAACGGGCACAGATATCTCCCATGGAATGACTACTGGATTCGAACCTCCAGACGTGTGATTAGCCCAGCACTTAATCCACTTTGCTAGCAGCTTTGCTTCTGGTTAAAAAAAAAAAAAAAAGCAAAAAGCATTGTCTTATTTTCTTGCTTGTCTTTGCTCTTGCATTACTGAGCAATTCCCTAAGGTTAGATACCAGGAATTGAAAGACTATCCTGCCCGTGGGATATCCCAAGTATTATTGGGAAGCACAGGCTTGAAATCACCTAACCATTCCTCAATGTTTACCTTCTGGGAAGATGAAAATACAGAACATGGAGGAGGAACAACTAAGGGGACAGCTAATTTTACATGGGGGATTAAGACATATCTCCATCCAGAGGTATTGTGAAATACTGTGAACATTTCACTAATCATAGTTGCTATCCATATCAAGTATGTATGAGAGCTGGGCACATGGCTGAATGATTTTAGTACATTATTGCCTGCAGTCTCCATAGTAACACGAACTGTTATTGTCCCCATTTTACAAATAGACAAATACATCCTCATATTGGGTGCCATGACCCAAGATCCCACAGGTGAGGAGGAGTTTCACAACTGGGATTAGAATGTGCTTTCCAATCATGACCAGGCCTGTTGCCCAATTTCTACACTAGACTGCAGTAGCATTGACTAGTAACGGCATCCCCCACCCCTGCCAATCTTTATACTGAGAATTTTCACCAAAATCTTTCAGTAAAATGGATTACTTGAGAGCCCAAAGACTGGCCAGTGGATGTTGCAAGAACCCTACCTCACCTGAGCAGCCACAATTCCTTGACAGACTAACTTCGACTTATCTTAATGAGTGCTCTAAAAGGCTCTGAATAAAGAGCATCGGAACCGGTGGGGCAGGAAGGTTTCTTCTGAGAACAAACACCACTAATCTGGCTGCCGTTGAATTGATGCGGACTCATAGCAGCCTTACACAAGGTTTCTAAGAGCTGTGAGAGTATCAGGTATTCATTATAATGCATTCATTTTATTCAACATTGTTGAGTATCTTCGAAATTCTGCAAATTTTCTGAAAACTGATTTGGATCCAAAACCAGATTTCTTTAAAAATGTTCCACAGATGAAGAAGCAATGCAAGTGGATGAAGCCTCTGGAGACTCACTCTCCTCTGACCACAGACCAGGGATGAGAGCGGCCTTGCTGTCATGCAGAGGCCATTGGGAAGCGGATTATTACAGATGCAGCTGATTACATTTCAATACCTTATCATTTATCTCCTTGAGTACCCATTTTACATTTGCTCTACTGTGTATTATTTTCTGTTTTCTTCTCAGTTGAGGCTTTTCTCAGCTTTATTTTGTTATTGTTGTTAGTTAGTTTGGTTTTTGTATGTTTTCCTGTATATGAAATCCAGGATAGGTAATTCTATCAGGAGAGTAGTTGGATTAGTGGTTTCTTGGGGATATGTGAGGGGAGGTTGGGGAGAAATGGGGGGCTAATAACAATGGACACTAGAAAGAAGAAAGCTTTCTAAAATGGATTATGGTGATGATTGTATAACTCTTCCAAATACAATGGAACCATTGAATTGTATGATATGTGATTATATGCCAATAAAACAATTTAAAAGACAAAAGATCCATTGAATTCAGAATTTACATACAGAGAAAGAAAGAGGAAATTTTGTTCAATATATAGTAAGGCAAATTGCTCAAAGTTGGGAAAAGTTCCTTTTGCTGCCCAGGAATTGAGAGAGAAGAAAGACACTCCTGGGGATCTAATCTAATGAGAAAATGTATTCTATTCACTCAGTTTATTGGGAGGATACCAAGGTTACATAGATTTGACTGGAGGTTGGAAGATTAAATAAGCAAGAACCATGCCAGCGTTGAAAATAAAAATAAAAAAAAAGGCAAGAAGCACAACAGAACATCTTTTAGAAGGATCAGTCTGGTTAAAGATGTTGCCTGTTCCTCCTGCTGCAGCAAAGCCCCATCTCCACCACTAAGCCCTAGCTCCAGCTAGCAAAGACATTCTGAGAAAATCCTATTTTTTTTCTTGGCAACAACTGATGCTCCAGTTGTATATAGCTGATTGGCCATGACTTGCAATATCTGGATCCAAAGATGCAGAAGGAGTAGAACTATTAACACTGGCATCCTCACGTGGTGAAGTGTCCCTGCCTTGACCACACGCATGGAGGAACATGACCTCACAGGGAGGAGGGTGTTGTAGTATGAGTCCTCCCACACTGTCTTCTAGTCCATTCGGACTCAAAGCAACCACATGGGCCAGGGCCAAACTGCCCTGGTGTGCTTCAGAGACAGTGGCTCTTGGCAGGGGTATAAAGCCCCATCTTTCTCCTGCAGCAAGGCTGGTCATTTCAGACTTTGAGGTTAGCAGCCCAATGTATAACCATTATGTTCAGATGTGTGTGTGTGTGTGTATGTTTTAAATCAGATTGATGGATTTCAAAAGCTTTTTGTTTATACAATACATGGCTCATATTGTATTTGACTTGGATTTGGCAAGAGAAGAAAATATCTATTTCACTGAGTCAAGGATCAAGAGGCGTGGGATGTCATTAACCCTACCCTCAAGATCCAAACCCACTGCTGTCGAGGTGATGGTGACTCACAGAAACCCTGTATAGGGTTTCTAGGGCTATAATATCTGCAGTGGCAGGGTGGCCTCAACTTTCTCCCTGGTAGGTTTGAACCACCAACCTTTCAGCTAGCAGTCTGATGTATTCAAAAATGTATTTGACATTGAACGGGGTTCTTTCAACTAACAGACAATGGAGACATTTGATACTTGATCACTCACTGAAGTAACTATTATTGAGAAGTGATGGTCTGACAGGTACCCGGCTAAATTTAGGCCATGAAGAACCTAGATCGCTAAAAGAGCTGATTGCTATTAGGTATCATTGAGCTAGCTCCGCTACCAGTGACCTTCTACACAAGGGAACAAAACTTTATTTCAGGATTATGGTATGTTGTGACTATGTTGTCGGTCTAGCTCAATGAAGTGGTCCCTCGCATTTTTCTGATGCTCTACTTTAAAACAGTGGGATCAAAATGTGATTGCAGCAACAGTAGATGTAGATATAGAAGTAGGGGAAACTAGTCAGTGACAGAGTGCTAAGATCACCTAGGATATTCTGAAGTCATAAATAAGCTCCAAATTCCAGGGGCATACAACAACGATGATATATTACTTTATTCGTGCATTTATGGAGCTTTCTTCCAAG